GGGTCAGCACGACGGCCCCCAGGCACTGTGAGTGGAACTGTTGATCTAGCCTTGCGTACCTACAGCGTTGTGATCTGTCCTGGAAAGGGGAGGGTGGGAATGTCTCCCACTCAGACAGATGTGCACGCACACAGACACACTCCCATGCCTTGAAGACCCGACGGGGTCGCCATAAGTCAGCTGTGACTTGATGGCCCACCACCAAAACTGCAAATAACAATGAAAAGGGGGGGGATCCATACAAATGCCCCCCAGAGACGGTGCTGTCTTCTACCAATGCAGTGTGGTCTTTCCAGAAACATAGCCTAACATCACAAAGGCAAACACACATACATACTAATGCGCACATGCAAGCCTACACATCAGTGATTAGAAGTGGGGCACAGAAATAAGAATGACAAGAAGCCAGAAAAAAGGTGTGGGGGGGAGATGCAGGGCAGGCAGGCAAGAGGGGAGGCGGGGGGGGTGACACTTCTCTTAATAGCGAGGCAGGGTGGATTGTGCCGCTCCACTGGGGGAAAAAAACCCTGTCAGGAAGAGGAGATTGACAAGGGCACCATGCTTATAGGGCTTGGAGAGGCAGGAGGCCCAAGCAGGAGGGAGGGGCAACAGGCAAGCCAGTGTAGTGTCCTCTGGGGAGCACAGGGAGAGCAAAGCAGTGAGCCGAGGAGGGCTGGCGAGGCAAGCCCCACGCTGCTGCCCACTCCCCTTGCGCGACTCACATCGTGCTGCAAGCTTGAACGCGGGGTGGCAGCAAGACCTCGGCAGGGCTTGGCGAGGACACGGGGGGGGCGCTGGGTGGGGGCAGGCGGCAGCATGTGTGGCGAAAGGCTGCAGGTGCCTTAGTTCGCACGGAGCCCAGCTGTGGCGTCCGGTCTCATGGAGCGAACAGCGGCGTGATCTCTCCATTCTATTCTATGGGGCAATAGAATAGAATGGAGACACTGTGCCGCCACTGCCGCGTGACACCAGAGAGAAGGGGTTTAAACTTTAAACCCCTTCTCTCTTCGCTTCTCCCCCCAGCCCACCTTGGCAGGCCGGCTGGGGAAGGGGAGGTTTTTGAAGATAACCCCCCCCCATTTTTGCTTCCCCAGCCGGCCT